CATGTAAATAGACTAAAGAACCCAAATGAAAGCAAAGGTTGTCAGACTGACAAAAACCCTATCTATTTATTATTTTTCAGGCATACTTTAAACAATAAGAATAGAAAACAATAAGAATAAGACAATGGAAAAATATACATCATGCAAACATTAATTAAAAGAAAGTCAGACCAGGCACGGTGGCTCACGCCTATAATCCCAACACTTTGGGAGGTCGAGGTGGGTGGATAACTTGAGGTCAGGCATTCGAGACCAGCTTGGCCAACATGGTGAAACCCCGTTTCTACTAAAAATACAAAATTTAGTCAGGCAAAAGTTAGTCCCAGCTACTCGGGAAGCTGAGGCAGGAAAATCACTTGAACCCGGGAGGGGGAGGTTGCAGTGAGCTGAGATCACACCACTGCACTCCAGCCTGGATGACAGAGTGAGACTCCATCTCAAAAAAAAAAAAAAAAAAAAAGAAAATCAGTGTCATTATGTTAGTATTGGACAAATTAAGCTTTAAGGAATAAAGTTTGTGAGCTATAAAGAGGGCAGTTTCATAATGATAGAGTAAGTTCAACAGAAAAATATAAAAATTCTGTACTTATAAGACAAAAATTTACATAATTACCAGAAGAAATATAGTAATCATCAAGCATAGTCAAAGATTTTAACACAACTCTCTTGGTAACTGATAGAAACAAGCATGCAAAAAAATTTAGTACAGATATTGTAGATTTTAAATTCTTTACCTGATTGATATATAGAGAGAACACTGTTACTACTTTTGCAACACTGCAAAATGTCTGAAGTCCTGCAAAAGTAATGTTGCTTTTAAGTGCATAGAAAATGTTTCCCATAATAGATCACATGCTTGGATTTAATGAAAGTGTCAACAAATTTCCAAGGTTTGAAATCACAGAGAATGTTTTCTAGTCTCAGTGGAATTAAACAAAAAATTAATGAGAGTACAGAAGTAGAAAACCACCACATTTTTGCGAATTAAGCACATGAGATTAAATAATCTATGGATTAAAAGAGAAAATTAGAATATATTTTATACTAAGTCATAATGAAAATATGACATCAAAACTTGTGGAATGTATCTAAAGTAGAGCTCAGACAGAAATTTATGCCTCTAAATGCAAATATTAGAAAATAAGAAAAATTAAAAATCAGTTTACCAAGTTTATACTTCAAGCTAGAAAAAGATAACCAAATTAATCCCAAAGAAAGTAAAAGGAAGGGG